GACCAGAACGGCCGGTTGAGACCAGAAAGGTCTTTAATTGGGATCAACAGTAATTGGCCTTTAGCTCATGTCCGGTGACGGTGATGTCTCTAAACGGAAGTTGATTTTAAAGTCGAAATCTTAAGCATCTCCAATAGCTTTTGGATTGCCCCATTTTGATGCCACGTGGCACAAAAAATCCTAGGTGGCCTAAAAAATTCTAGAAGTCTTTCTAGATCTAAAAGTACTTCTAGACAACTTCTATTATATATTATATTATTTATTCAATTTTTTCTTTTTTTTCAACCAATTATAAAATTACACATGTCAGATTAAACCATTTTTAACCTTAACCATTAGAGACACAATGTTTTAATCTCCTTCTTTCATGTCATGCAACCCAAAATAGACAAGATACCATTGGAGATGCTCTTAATAATGTATTCATCTGTTACAGCAATTTTATATGCGATGAATCAACCCTTTAATACCCTTTTATAAAGTCATCTCCAACCGAATACCTCATACTCAAACCCATTTTGCAGTATACATCCCATTTTGCAGTAATTCATCTCCAACCGAAAAACCCATTCTCCAACCCAAAAGAATATTCTCTAAATATTCCCTTCAACTTCAACTTTTACAATTTTTCAATACTACCCACATATTTTACAACTTTACAAATTAAACTATACTATTATTTTCAATTCAATTTGGACTTTATGTAATAAACTAATAATAAAGTTATAATCATATACATAATAAAATCAGAGAAATAAAAAGTCATTAAAAATTAAATTTTAAAAATACAACACACAATAATATTAAAAATTACAACACACGCTATTAGTAATGTTGTTGTCTTTAATGTTTTATTTTCTTGTTAAATAAAAATACCATAAATTATATGTATATTTTATATTATTATTGTAAAAAATATAGAATCAAATGATAAATATAATATTTATTATTTTAAAAATTATACTATTTAATTTTTATGAGATAAAGATTTTATAGTATTTTACATTAACATTACTATTTTGGTAAATATATAATTAACATTCATTAATTAATCATCATATAAGGATGGGACTAAAATGCAAAAACAAAAAGAACAAAATGAGATTAACATATAAAAGGATTAAAATGTAAAAGAAAAAAGAGTGAATGCATATTTTGCGTTCAGACGCAAATTTGCGTCTTGGAGGAGGAGAGAGAAGGCAAAATCGCAAATTGCAGTTGCGTTTGCCGTTCGGTTAGAGGAGAATTCACAGCAAAAATTGAGTTTTTGAGTTCGGTTGGAGAAGGTCTAAGTAGTACGAATGAAGAGATATTTATACCGATGAAAAAAAAATGAAGAGATATTTATTAATTTTTATAAATTAAATACTCATAAAAATAATATTTACAAATTAAAAATATAAAATCAATATATAATACAATTTATTTATATTAATTTATTTAAAATGATATATGAAATTTACATTGTGCAAAATTACATAAAACATGTCTATTTAAAATTATTACACAATTCGTGCAGTGCACGTAACTGATAATAAATTACATTATAATAATTTCAAAATAAGTGTTTGTGACGCATATTCATTAATAAACACGAGAATTTAGTCCAAATTGATATCCAACGGATCATATAAAATATAATTGATTATAAATCTCTATTATTCTTTGATTAAATTCTTCAAGAATAATCTTCAAGTAGATTTAAGACTTTTGGAGACAAAATTTCTGTTTGATGTCTGTCGGTCTTGAATTTGAATTTAGATAACATTTATTTGAGGGAAAGTTTGATCTCGAATCGAACGTCGTGATTTCCCAAAAACGTGAAGAACACGGGTTCTTGGTCTTTGCTGCAAAGTCGGTCTTTGATCTTCTCTACATCGGTCTTGACTTTAATGATGTAATTTGGAGGCATCGCAGCTTGTTTCTGGATTAAACGTCGGTCATGAACTTGAACGCGCTTGAATCTTACTTCGAATCTTCAAGAACACATTTGGATCTTGAAAAACACGTGAATCTCACCGAGAGAATTCTCTTGAACTATTGAAGTTGGATATGAATTGCCCTTTGACTTTAGAGAGGGCCCTTATTTATAGGCGTCAAGAAATAAAGTCTTGACAAATAACACTTTAATTTGATTGGTCCTTAGTTTCCAATATTTATTATTAGGAGAGAGATTTGGGGAAAAAAAAACTTCAATGTGATTGATCCATGAATTTTCAATATTTATCTCATTAATAATTATTTAAAAAATAGTTATATTTATTTTAATCTTCAAGAAAATGACATGTGACATTTTTAATTGGCTTTCAAAATATACATGTGCCATTCTTAATTGACCAACAATATATATTAAATAATCAATTAATTAACAATTTAGTTTAAACATAAAATAAAATTATTAAAATTATTAAATTATTTTGACATGAAATTTGACTTGTCACCATTTTATTGGATTAGAACTTATTTGTCCACAAATGCCTCATTGAGACTTGTTCACGGACGACTAGTCTTGGAGTAATTAAGTCACAACTTCTTGATTTGACATGATATTCCACTTAAGTATGTGATTAAGTATGTGAAAAAAAAATGATAATTTAATAAAAATAATATTACATGCACAATAATATTACATAAATTGCACAATATTTTGTGAGAACGTGCACATTAAATATACCGCCGTACTATTATGAAATCAAAGAATCGTCAACGCCTACACACTTAAAATTTTACAAATTTGCTTAAATGCCGACTCCTTAAGGTTGATTGTTGGTTGATTTGGTCAAACCGGATGATTGAAATGTCAAAACTGAAATAATCATGTTGAACGTTCGAAAACCGAACCGACCAAACTTTTATTCCAAGCCAAACTAAAATATGACTGACATAATCGGTTTAATTTATCGGTTAACCAACTTAACTAAAATAACCAAAATAAATTATCATTTGTATTATAAAAACATAGTTAGTATTTTAATATTTTTATTTAATAATTTTATAATTGTTTTGTTTAACTAATAATATGCATGTAAAAAAATATATAAAAGCTAATATTTTGTATATAGTTCGGTTCGGTTATTTATTTTTAACCGCATTAAAATAATCGAAATTTCAAAAGTACAAATCTGATAATCGGACTAACATATAAAGAACAGGACCAAAAACTTTTATTGTTGTTAGTTTTAGTTGTTTTTTCGATTTTGGTCGAACTTAACACACTCATATCCGCGCTACATAATGCATCATATCGATATTTTAATTGTGTATTACTACATATAAAAATGCACAATAGCGTGTGAAAAAAAAAATGAACAATATCGTATCAATTTGGAATTATATTATTTTACCAGGGGTCAATGTGCGGAATATGCGCTAATGTGCACTATTGGATAAATCCGCAATCCATTTAACGTTATTATGCAATTCTTATCTAACAATATTGTACATTCTCACATGTTTACAAAAATGGTTCCGCGCTTGGTGTTTTTAATTGATGGAACCGATCGACTGGAATAAGCGTCGAACTTTGGAAAAAAAACTAAACTGATGGATCTTTTGTCCCAAAAGGAAACTAAATCTGAACCGAAAATGATCGATTTATTCTGGCAAATAACTAAATAACACACATATATATATATAATGTAAAAAAAAATATTGTCTAATTAATTCGGTTGATTCAAATATTTTGGTAATTAAAAAAAAAAAAAAGCCGATGTCGAACCAAAATAACTAAAAATTTAAATGTGATAAACCCAAAACATAGGAGTAATTTTTACTTCACAAGTTTAGTCATTTGCGCTATGCTGAAGTGCAATCTCACATATATTATCGTGCATATTCTATAACACTAGTGTGCATCCCACAACACATACATTTTTTAATTTCCATGTTTAGTCATTTGCGTTACTCTAAAGGGCAATCTCACATACATTATTGTGCATATTCTATAACACCGTTGTGCATGATATTTTTCAATGTGCATATACACAAGCAATACATTGCGCCTTTCTTACTATTAGTTTATTTATGTGTATTTATCATATTTTTAAAAAATTACGATTCAACTGAAGTATTAAATTATAGTATAATCAACATTACAATAATTTTATATAGATCCCTTGAATTTATCTAATTCCCAAACTAATGGGCTTAGGGGTTGACACTCGGGTATTACCCTGTTGGGGTCTGACGCTCGAATATTACCCTATTGGGGTCTTGTAGTCGTTTTAGTTTGTCTGTTTTTCGTTAGTTGTTTCGCGTTGTGTTTTTATTCTAACGTTGCTAGTCGGGATCTTAGGCGGTCTTCTAACCTGTCCTCCCTTTTCTGTTTTCTTGTGTTTTTCAGCTGTTGGCTGAGGTGTATTCAGCCGTTGGCTGTTGTGTATTCGCACATTTGTGCTTTGTGTTTTATAACCTCAACAAAAAGAGCTGAAACGAAATTTCTTTTATTAAATCTTTCCCCCTCTCTATATATATAGATTTATTTGAAATTTCAAAAAAATATTTTAACAATTTTTGTAATCGGAGAATATATATAGATATATATTTTAATAAACTGAAATCCTTGAAAATGACAAAATCTAGAAGTGGAATTTGATATAAAATTTACATACCTATACTCTATATAAAACTTATTATTAAATATACGTGAGTAAGAAAATTTTATCAAATGCGAACTTTTGTGTACAAATATTAACACATATACAATAGTCGGTTGCCTTCCAAAACTTATACACTCATTTTCTGAAGACCTTGATTCATGCAAATCAAAACAAATTTTTACATTAAAAAAATGGATTTCAAAAAAAAAAAAATTGTTCAGATATACTGTATATATATATCATATAAACACGATCTGGTAGTACTCTAACATATGCCCATCGTGGGTAGGGGAGTATTATCCATATATAAGATAAACAACATACAAACAATTTTGAAACGAGATAAAACATAATACACAAATCGGGAACTATGTTTCTCCTCCTCCGTCATCTGCACCAGCATGCCGAACCGCTCCGCGCGCTTTATCTTCTTCTAGATATTAGAGACAGCAGCAACGCCGTTGTAGAAAAGAATAGATTCACTCTTCGATTTGACAACGCCTCCACCGAAGGATGTCGGCGTCTGCTTCGATGGGTTGTCTCCGTCGTCCAAAGACTTCAAATCGACATCAGAGCCATTTACAAGGTTTTGCGATGGAAGGGTTGTCACCGTCGCCATCTTGTGTGTGTGCGCGTACCAGAATATATTTTGGGTCGAAGTGAAATTGTGTGAAAAATTACACCATCAGTTGCAACGGGTGATGGTAAACTGAAATTTCCCAGATCACCGAAAAATTTGTACCATAATTATTAGAGGCAAGACATTACATATATCAGTTTTTAAAACTAAATAAGAACCGTAATTTCACAAATAAAAATCTCATCTTGTAGTTCAACTTTTTTTTTTTTAAAAAAAAAAGTTGAAATGGAGTGGTGAGAGTAATTTTCTCAGTATCATAAATGTATCGCCTTCAAAATCACCGCAAACCTTAAAAAGTTCGAACAAAATCCAAATGATCAACAATATGAGTTTTAAATTTTTTTAAAAATACAAATTAAATACACAACAACATTTTTAAAATGGCAAGTCTTTAAAATTTTGGAATGAATAAATCCTCCTAAAATGGGCTAATTTTCAAATTCTCCCAGGTATGCTAAAATAAGAGAACTACTAAAAAATGTCCGGAATCTGGTTGGTCCTCGTTGGATAAATCAACATAGCTCATGTGAAATTAATCACTTCCGAGAGTTTTCCAGAATACCCAAAAAAGACCTGCAGCACTCCCAACAGGCTACACCTACATCTTTTCTACATGCCAATATTTACAGAGGTATTTCTGTTTAATGTTTCAAAAACTAACACCAAGACCATAAAACGAGTGGGACAAGTTAATTGCAAGCCCAAAAACAGGCAGCATACCATGGTTGATGTACAAAAAGATTGCTTCACTCAAGAGGACACTACATTTCTATAGTCAGATAAGTCAAAAACAGCCGTAGCTACCCCATCCTATTCTCAGCGCCTTCCGGACGACCCATTCGGAAAGACGTCTTCACCCCCGGAAGGACGATTTACTCGGTTAGTTTGATTCTGATTGATGAACCGGTTATAAGCATCGGTATACGCCTGTCCAGTGAGGGCCCCACGCATCCTGCCAACTGGAGGCTGCCAGCTCTCATTGTAGTCTTCGGTCGAAGCCAATGGTGGGGTTGATGTGGCTGCAGAATTGCCACCAAGGTCTGCCATTGGGGCAGCCCGGAGATGATTAGGGTTTACGGAGTACGAGGGTGCAGTTGCCACAGGAGATTGTTGTTGCTGTAAGAAATTTGTAGCAGCAGATTGGATGGGGGACCGGATGGAGCCCACTGGGGACTGGCTTCTGCTCGTTTGGGGAATCCTGAGGTTTGCCATTTGATTTGTGACCGGGTGGCCCAGCTGCTGTTGGGTAAACGTTCGATTTTCCTGTTCACAGAGAACAAGAACAAAAATAAAGGAGTTAGAGACGACAATTATAACAAGAAAAGCAACTATTTTGTTTAAACCAAAAATAAAAATGAAAAACAATAAGAAAGAAAAGGTTCCCAGCTCACCTGTGCACGCAACATAGGTGAGGACACCTGATGTGGACTTGCAACGGGAGATGAGCTGGCGAATACCGATGTTCGTGTAGACCTTTGCTGACGAGCAGAACTTGACACCTGAGCGGGCAGGGCCTGGACAGCCGTCGGCACTCTCGTCACATTCCTCGGCAACGAAGGCATCCTACCGTACTCGGCTGTGAAATTTGAGTTCCCGAATTGATACTGCTGCAACGGCATTTCCCTAGGCGTGGTTGGTCCCACTTGCGGCATGGAAGTGGTAAAAAGGAAATTGTTATCACTGAAATTAGTAACTTGCCCACTCGTAGTTAAAACGGGAGGGGAGTTGGGAAACTGGCTACCGATCTGTATATTTGACGGGATGTTCGGCTGGTCCAAGGTTGACAAGAAAACATTGGTCCAAAAGCTGTCCCCTGCTTGAGAATCATTTCTCTCATTGACATTACCCGTTGCAGTATGAGGTTCAATAGAGATGGCTGGGGTAATGGACTTATTTTGAGAGCCAATTAGGGAGGGTTTCATGTCTTCAGTTTCCATAGTGGCAATACAGTCCATAATGTCATCTGTCTGAGTGAGATCCACTGCATTAATGGAGTGCGTGGGTTGGAATTCCATTGCGTCCAAGTTCTTATCCTCAGGCTTCTGCGCGGCATCTTCACTGTTCATGACAGGATTCCATGATCCATCAGGGGATATGGTTATGTGTGAGACGTCTGACTCAGCCTCTTTCAAGACCTGGAAAACAAAAAATGAGTAAACATCACGAGAATTGCAGTAACATTGGCAATATACATGACCTCAAAAACTTTCAGTTTTTTTCTAGTTCTTTTAGATTTTTCACAGTTTTTAGCCTTTTAGCTCTCATTTTTCAGTTTTTATCGCTTTTTTTTCCAGGTTTTAAATTGTTTTAGTTTTTCTTGAGTTTTCTACTTCTTGATTTTCTATTTAGTTCTGACATTAAAATTTAGACGATCTGACATCATTAGCCTGTTCATAAAAAGTGTGTCTCAATAAGACTTGTAGCACCAACGACAATTTCGGCTAAAGTATGCTACTTGCCTTGACCAGTTTTCGATCAATGCGAAGATCAGTAAAGCATACATGCTGATTACAATGCGGGCAGCGCCAAGAAGGTCGTCTTGAATTTATGCCCACATAGTTGTCAAAATCAAAGCACTGGAATAAAAGACATGTAAGATGTTAATTTTAGATGAGGAACTAGAAGAAATGCTATCAGGTTTTTAGTTGCTCCTCATAGCATGATTTTTTTTTTTTTTTGAATAAATTAAACTACCCACATGACGGTTTCAAAAAAAAAAAAAAAGGAATTTTTTACTTTCAGCTTCAACTATCATAACAATTATAATCACCTGCATATGCTTGCAGGAATGTCCTTTGACAGGAGTTTTAATCCGTGTGAAGCTGTTGGAGGATAAAATTTGCAAACATATGAGCAGGGAATTCAGGTGCAACGTAAATTCAAATGTGCGGAATGATGATACATCAAGTTAATGAATGTGTCCAAAAATTTGAGAAACAAGCAGGTTAACAGACATTGACCTAGACATTAAGATTTAAGAATAATATTCACAAAGTAAATTCCAGAAATGATAAGCATCTTTTGAAGCTTCAGACTGCTATGCTTTCTAGTGCTGCAAGAGGTATATGCTCAGATCAATTCATCCGACGCATCAAGTAGAAGCATATTGAGCAGTTTAAAAAAAATGTGCCCAGTGTTCCAAAATCATGATATAAGGTTTTTCGAGTTTCCTGTTGGTGAATGCTAGAAGGATAGAATCATGTTAAACAAATAAGAAAGGAAACCTGATTGGGCAATTTAGTGATATCCGTGATGGGCCCTCAACTATTTCAGAATCTGCAGAAAATAAAATGTTAATAAATAGATGACATCATACA